ACTGAATTCAGAGCGTTAGATGAGGGTAAACTCTAATATCCACAGCACTTTGGCCTGGAAGGTCCCCAGTTTGACATGCCCTGCAGGAAGGTGTATCTCCAGGACCAGGGCTGGAGAACACTGCTCTATAGCCTGATGTGATGTCTGTGGAAGTAAGAATAAGCAAATATGCTAAAGACTAAAATGGATATGCAAAAAAACAAACTCAGCTATGTTACCAAGGGCCATGGATTAACTTCCAGAACATTTTCTTCAGTTCATTTCTAATTAAAAGGAGAATACAACATAACCCAATAACGTCACATAAACAGCGCTGACCTGGAGGGTTTAATAAAAGAAACACAAGGTATAACAAACAAGTAGCCACCACACATAAAACTCCATAAAAGAAATATATCTGTACCAACTGTATCATAAAAAAACAAAAATGTTTCAGAAAATAAATACTGTACATTTCACACAGAAAAACGATACGAAATTACTGTTTCTTTTAATCTGGCATGCTCTTTATTGTTTTTACGGTCTCTCCTATTAGAAACTATCGTTTCAAAAAATTCAAATGCACCGGATCTTACGTTCATGAAAAAAGTACTGTACAGTAGAATTTGGGAAGAAAATCATTGAAATATATTATTTTATTGAAAAGGAAACATCTTTTTATGTACATACTCTCATACATACATATTATGATCTATGAAATAAAGAATTCTCTGCGGATGGGAATTTCTCTTTCTCTGGTTCTAAAAAATACAAATAAACGCATCTATGTCTCTTAGCACCTCCTCTGCTCCGGAAAATAAAACTAGTATTGCAATCTTTTTAGGTAAACATTAAATACGCAATGGAGAATATCTTTAATGAACACGCTATACATTATTGCATCATCCAGGAGCTGCAAACGAGCGCAGTCTCAGTACAAATGAGGATATTACATAGAGACGAAAGGCCTGTGGTTGTCCAGTATCTGATCAGAAGGAAAATAAAGCAAACAGACTCAGTATAGTTAAGAAATAATGCTGCGTTCATGACCAACTGGGAACATTTCTGACTTCCAAGTAGGGAAAATCCAGCTGTCCAACTCATAGTACCCACTTTGGAAGTTCCCCAAGAGCTTCAGCTTCTCCAAGATGCAATTTTGTGGTCATTTTAAGAAGAATTAATAGCATGTTATTATGTTATTAAGCATTTTAGGGAGCTTTCTGGGTTTCCTTTGGTGTATGATACACTCAATCACTAAATACACTCTGATATTTTGAGTTTTTTTTAATCAAATTATGCACTTTCATATATTTTTTGGAGCAAACTGATTTATCCACTTTTAAAATAAATAGAGCACTAACCAAACTACTGTTTAACTCTTATGTAAAAGGAATAGTTCAGCAAAAAATCATATTTACGCAACTTCCCACTTACCCCAGATGTAGTTGATCACCAAAGACATATTTGGTGTCTGAATTTGCTTCTTTAGTTTTAAACTGGAGCGATGAGGCTAATGTTGCTAATAAACACTAGAAGTCAATAGTCACCCAAGTCTTTACAGTAAATACATACCCAAAACAGCTCTCAAGCTGCATCCAGATCTTCAGTAAGGTGGATTAGGCTTATTTATGTGGTTTAGACGCAGTATGACTCACTGTTAACTATAAAAATGAACAAATCATCACTGTGTAGCTAGATGCAGCCACTTTTAGCCCCCTGCAGAATCTCATTTGTGTGCACAAAGCTGGATTACACTCGTAATTTCTATTGTTTCTATTCATAAACATATATCCTCAGAAAATTCAAGATGAACAATTATTTACAACTATACCAGAAATCGCTAACAAAATCCACAGTGTCAATTTGCATTTCCGTTACTTGGCCGACGCTCTTAATCAGAAGAAAGCAAACGTACAGCAGCATTGGGTGTCTTACCCTAGGACTCCTATTTGTATTGCATAGGGTTTTGGCCTGAGCAGGGAATCGAACCCTGCTCTGCTGCCTGGCGGGCAAAGATTTTACCCACTATGTTATACCTTATGACTGCGTCACGACATGTGCACATGAAAAAGAGTCAAAATTTGGCACACACTGAAAAGACATTGAAATAGATGCAGGCAAAAACACTAACATTAATATCTATGCAGGGCACAAATTATTGCCAACACTTATATTTGGTTATTGTTCATAATAATCACATTATGAAACGTGGTACTTTCTAATAGAGATTACTGATGGTTTACTGGTAGGCGGCTTAGACCGTAACACTGTGTCACAGGTCACGGCTACTGAGGAGAACCGTAGGTGGTCGATACTGCACCCGAGGGAGTGCCCAAGAGCAATGGATTTCTTAGAACCCAATCTGACGCACAAGCTCTTTCCTGTGGTGGGACTGAGTCTCATCTCACTAAAACAGATCTTGAAGAACAGCGGAGGCAATATAAAATACAGTTGTTATACTTACCAACCAAGAGGGTACAGTCAGGGGGCAAAAGGGGAAGGGGCTCAAGCCCCTCTGGGGGCTACCTGTGCATGTGCCTGTGCAAAAAACAGTGTGACTGTAATGAGGACCTGGAATCTGGTGGACTGAGAGAAGTTTTAGGGATGTATTCACAGAAAAGATTTGGGTGGCAACTGACTTCTAGTGATTGTTAGCAATGCTAAATCCTTAGCTCCAGCATTACACTGAAAAAGAAAAATCTGGATGCCAAATGTGTTGGCTGAATGTCTGGGGCCGGGGTCGGCAACACGTGGCACTGGAGCCACATGTGGCTCTTTTACTGCCCCCTTGTGGCTCCACAGCAGAATTAGATTTTTAGGTAAAATTAAAATAATCCTCCTTTGCAGTAAAATAAAGCTCTGCTGATCGTTCAACACAGATTAACAATAAATGGTCTTAAACACTGGAGTTAATGCATAACTGCTATTACACCAACCCTCAACCCTGAAGGTTGGCGTGCAGTCACCATAGCAATGCAGACAACAATCTCGCCTAGCTAGCAGCCAACAAAATGGCAAAAAAGCAAAAGATTCAAGACGAATATTGAGAATTTAGAGACAAACTCACTTGCAACTATATGCACTCCAGCTGGTTTTCTGATATGTTTACTCTGCAACAAGGAACTGTCAACCACCAAAAAGTTGAACTTTTAATGACATTTAACAAGAAACTATTTTAGCTTTGCAGAGAAGTTTCCTGCTGGAGACGCGAGAAAAGCAGCAATAGCTGAGCTAAAGCTTAAAGCAGAGCAAAGTAAGTCTGCATTTCTGTTTATATTATATTTTTTAGCCTATCCTAGTACATTAGCACATACTGAGACATATTTACAGCCAAGATGGTAAAAATGTTACACCAATAAAATGGACATACAATGTTTGTGGCCCCAAGCTGGTTTGATTTTTGTTGAAATGGGACAAAATGGCTCTTCTTAACATTTGGGTTGCCGCCCCTGGTCCGGGGGGCGAGTAACAGAGTGGAAATTTGAGCTTCCTACACGCCCACAGCAGCCAAACAAGTATTACATCACTGAGTGTCCATTTTTCCCCAATTTTAAACAAATGAAGTTGAGTGAATGCTTTAGGGTGGGAAGTAGGAAATTTTCTGAGTCTGAAAAGTCTGAGTTCCTATTTGTCATGAACACAGCATAAAAATGAAAACGGGAAATCAGTCATCAGTGAACTCTTGTGTGTCTTTGGGGACGAAATAAAATGGTTTACTACGAACGGACAAGTTAAGAGTGAGACTTCCTGCTAAGGCTTAGTAAGGAAACTATAGTACAACATCAGAGCAGAAACCAAGAGAGCGTCGGTGACGAAAGCTTATTGACTACACAATACGAGACCAAAACTGCATCACACACCCCCGACCACATCAAACCACTGAGTGAACATGTACCGTCCCATGGGTTTTAGCTTTGTGATTGTTTTCGGCGTTATTCCAAGACAGCATGTGTGCATTTGTGTTTGTATGAATCTGGAATCGTCTGTTCAGTTGAAAAGGAAGACCATGATCATTCAAGTCAATCAGGAAGCAGTTCAAACGCTTTTTTTAATTCCTTCCATGAGAATCCAAATGTGCTCCCTCCAGCAGCTCACGAGGACTTAAACCATTCCGGAGAAGGATTTTTTTTTGGTTCTATTTAACCCCTTAAACTCTAAGAAGCTGTCGACGTGTCCAAACTTCCATTCCTCACCCTCGTAACTATGAAACGTATCAGTAGTTACTGAATAATTCATAGTAGTTACAGGGTAGTAAGCCTTAAAGGAACGCTACAGACATTTTTAATCTGATCTCTATCTGCCACATCTGTACTGTATGAGAAGAAATGAAAAATTCAATATGTTTACTTAGAAAAAAGCAGAAAATTTGTTGAATCTAAACTTGCTTATAATAGAAGCCAATGGAGAGTTGCTGTACAATCAAAGGCATTTGTAATTTCTAAATGTTTACAATTTATTCTTTCAGAGATGGGCCTAGTTTTCCAGAGGGAAGAACTATAATATTTACAATAATTATAACTGTAGTTATCATGATGAGCCGAGTCGCATCGTAACTAATTTTACCTCATAACTTTTAGCTAGAAAACAGCAACTTTGGGAAGACTTAGGTAACTGACTGACTAAGTTAATCACTATCATCTGCCTGAGTGGACGGAGTTCTGTCTGATTGCCATGGATACCAGAAAGCCTTAGAGAAAGCAAAAATCAACTGAACTGCTTTTTTTTATTAACTGCATTCATCCAATGTTTGAAAGCTGGATGAAAGTTGATAAGAACAGCTTTAGTAAGATGTTCTGTCATGCCTGTCTTATTATTTCGCTGCTGTTGGAACAAAACCTTATATCTCTGGTTTTTTATTGTTTTTCATTTTTTGACATAATTTGAAAATGCCTGTTGTCCTTTACATTGTGTGTAATTTTCACAATTAATGGACCAAAAAAAAAACAGCCCGAAATAACTTGGAAAAAATTCTGGTTCCATTGACTTACAAAAAAAGTGAAATATGTTTTTTGCTTCTCCTGTCAAGTTACCACTTTGGAGATGTGAGGTTTATTCTGATAGCAGCAATATATTCAATATATATTCATTAATAAGGAGGCAGAATTTCTGAATAGTCATGAAGGCCTAAAAATAGTAGTAAATTAGGAAAGCTTCTCTCTAATGTCATGCATTCTTATATTTAAGAACCATGAGATGTCTAAACACTATACTCCACCAGAGGGCAGTGCAGAGCCTGCATCTTATGCTTTGTTCTAATGGTTCTAATCTGTTTAGTCTAAAGAAAGAAAACAAAGAAAGTCTACTGCAGCCGTCTGAAGGATGAGAAGTGCAGTGCCGCTATTGCAGGAATAGAAAGTGCCATTTTGCACTCGTGTAGATTTACTGACACAAGACTTTCAACATAATTTAGTGACTTTTTCAGGTTTCATATCAGCAAACTAACTCCTCACAAACTCGCTGTTTTTGGCTAAATGATGCTGAAATAAGTTACGATACAATTAGGATAGTTACATTATCTGAGGCAGCATTTGTCTGGTTATCTTAAAGACTTCAGACTGACTGATTTCTGGCTGTTGATTTCAAGCCACATCCATCTACTACAGATTTCTGTGGTCCGGTTCTGGATTTAATTTGATGCAGTAATAGATGCTTAGAGACCCTGAGCAGTGCTGGAGGTCTCTGAGCGGCAGTGCATGTCATCGGCAGTTTCGTCAGAAACAAAGATTTGGTATTTTTGTAGCTATAAAGTCAAATTAATTGGAAAGCAGTTTTCAGTCTTCTGTACTGTAACATGTTTTTGAGTGAAACACTGTATTGGTGAGGGTCTCTATGCTACCTGAATGTTCCATTTGATAGGTAGGAGTGGTGGGAGCTGAAATTCAAGTTCACTTTAAGAGCTTCTTCCAAGAGATAAATGAAAATAAGGTACAATGCAAACGAAATAGTATCAAACTTGACTGAGATGCTCATCCCAAATAGTCATATATTTCAAGAACTTCTTCCTGGAATTGCAACTGTCCAGTGACTTCGAGTACAAATGGAATTGCATTTGAATTACAGTCCATGGAAACTGACTGTACAGTAGAGATGCAGCAGATTGAGTAGACTGAAAAATGCTAAAGTATTTCTTTAAGGTTAGTAACTAAACCGTGAGTCTAGAGTTTAAGGGGTTAAACAAACACATCTTCCCTCTTCAGACCCTGCGGTTCCTTCGCCCTGACCGTAATCCCGTAGGTGGCGCTGCGTAGCCCCTATCCTTGGGCCGTGGGGTTCAGAGGAACAGTCTCTCACTGGCCCCAGCCACCCGCCTTGGGGTTGTTACTGTGGCTCCAGCAACGTGGCAAGGGTGGAGGTCAGTACGGGGCAAAGAGGATGGAGCTGGTGGAGGGCCGGATGGGTCCCGGAGCTGCCCGCAGGAAGGAGGGCTGCAGGGTGGCCGTCTGAAAGATGGAGGCGTTGGGGCGTGGATGCAGAGAGATGGAGGGCATGGTGGTGGGGGAGAACGGGGTGGAGATGAAGGCCGGAGAGATGGGCTTCACCATGTCCTTCTGCAGCGCCAGCTTAGCCTGCAGAGGTAGAAAGGAAGAGTCACTGTAGGCTCTAATGAAGCCCACCAAGGCCAAAAACATACAGAATAAATCTCTTTAGTATCAACCCCCATAAAATCCAGGGCTTATTACATACTACGGCTTATTATTCAGTAACTACAGGGACTTCAATGCAAACTGGTTGAGCTATTCTTAGGTTATAGACATGTATAATAAAACTTTGGGCCCGCCGATGGACCCTGGCCATTTAAGGGGTTAATGAATTAATCTCTGTAGTATTAATGTCCATATGAACGTCCATATTAATGCCATATTTTAGTATAAACCCATTAATGTGACATTTTAAAACTTCTTTGATACAAATCTGAAGATTTTTAAAAACTGATACGGATAAAAAGAGTTTTTATAATTTAATTTAACATTAAATTCAGTCTTTTGGTCACAAGTGGATAGAGATTTAAAAGAAAACAACAGAAAATCCAAATTTGATTGTGATTAAAAGTATGAAAATTACAATGTAATCTAAATAAAACCACTTTGACATACTTGGAGGCTTTTTTCCTTATCGTGCAACTTCAGTTGTTGGACATAAGTAGGTTAATATGCTTCAATCTCTGGATTATTAACCTAAAGAATTTTAGGGATGATTTTGCGAACAGGGATTAAGCCTAGTCGTGGACTACACAGTATTCTGAACAGAGATTCTCCATTAAAAGTAAAGAGCAGTCCAGGACTAGGCTTAATCCATGTCCAGGAAACCGACCCCTGAAGTTATTACTGTTGTTTTGCTGTACTATCTAAAACTTATTCAATAATTATATAATAATTGACAAAGTCAGTTATGTAATAAATCACATTATCAGTTAGTTTACATTCTGTACAGACAGACTTGCAGGTCTGATATTTTTCTCTCTGTTTCAGTGTTAAACAATGACAAAAATCACTGTATTGATTGAAGGTTTAAAATCCACACTTTCCACTCAATGTTTCCATTTGCATCAAAGAGCTACGAGTAAGAAATAATACAAAATGACATGATTTTGTTATCAACAGTAATAACTGTGATTTCAGAGGGGAAGAGAGTCTCTAACATCACTCAAGATTATATTTATTGACTTGGCACTTTATACTAGAGTGTGGGATGGACTTGCTATAAATGTTGTCCTCACACATTCAGACGCATTAAGAAAACAGAAATTGTGTTTTACTGTTTTAGGTAAAAAATAATGTAACTAACTATTCTTTATTCTCCCTAAGTGGCCATTCACCCCTTAAACTGCAGGGTTATTATTCAGTATGAATTATTCAGTACCAACTACAAATCATTCAATAATCAATGTGACTTATTTAATAGCTACAATTAATTATTCGGTAACTACTTTGAATTATTAGATAACTACTACAAATTATTCAGCAACGACTATGAATTATTTAGTAAACAACTACAAATTATTCAGTAACTACTATGAATTATTAAGTATCTATCAATTAAATTGTAACTACTAGGAATTATTCAGTATCTACTATAAACTATTCAGTAACCACTGTGAATTATTATGTAACCACTATGAATTATTATGTATCTACTATGAATTATTCAGTGTTTACTACAAATTATTATATAACCACTATGAATTATTATGTAACCACTATGAATTAATCAGTAACCACTGTGGATTATTATGTAACCACTATGAATTATTATGTAACCACTATGAATTATTTAGTATCTACTATGAATTATTATGTATCTACTATGAATTATTCAGTGTTTACTACAAATTATTATATAACCACTATGAATTATTATGTAACCACTACGAATTAATCAGTAACCACTGTGGATTATTATGTAACCACTATGAATTATTATGTAACCACTATGAATTATTTAGTATCTACTATGAATTATTCAGTGTTTACTACAAATTATTATATAACCACTATGAATTATTATGTAACCACTATGTATTACTTAGTACCTACTGTAAATTATTCAGCATCTACTATGAATTATTAGGTAAATTAGTCAGTAACCCCTAAAAATTATTATGTAACCACTATTAATTATTTAGTATCTACTATGAATTTTTCATTATCTACTATGAATTCATCAGTAACCACTATAAATGATTATGTAACCACTATAAATTAATCAGTAACCACTATGAATTATTATGTAACCGCTATGAATTACTTAGTACCTACTGTAAATTATTCAGCATCTACTATGAATTATTAGGTAACCACTATAAATGATTGTTACCCCTAGAAATTAATCAGTAACCACTATAAATTATTATGTAACCACTATTAATTATTTAGTATCTACTATGAATTTTTCATTATCTACTATGAATTAATCAGTAACCACTATGAATTATTTAGCAACTACTGTAAATAATTCAGTATGTACTATGAATTATTCAACAACAACTATAAATTATTTAGTAAACAACTACAAATATTCAGTAACTACCATGAATTATTTAGTATCTAGTATGAATTATTTAATATCCACTGTCAATTATTCCGTAACTATGAAACTAACATGGTTCTGTAGTTCTGAGAGTGAGGAACTGACGAGTAGATGTTCAGTTCAGTTTAGGATTAGAATTATTTATTTGCAGCATTTATTAAAGAGGACTGTAAGATCTATGAGTTCTCTACAGTTGTAGATGTATATGTTTGTGTGTTTGCTGTCTTCTTTAAAAAGACCACAAAACAGAAGCAGAGCCTCCTGACTGGTCACAGAGAAGCAGGGCGTTATTGATGAAGCGATCATTCTGACTGATTACAACACATTGAGAGGATAAAGCCTGCAGAGTGGTTTGGAGAATTAGATGAGTTCTCTCCAGCTGGCTGACGCCATGTGCTCGACAGATGTCATTACATCCAGCTCACCTCTAAACAATTTAATAGGCTTCAATCGAATACAGGTTTGCCCAGTATGTAAAAATAAGATCATTGTAATGCGGTGGGGATCATGTGGCTCAAGGTCAGATTCTGGTGTTCAGGCGCATCACAAACCCACAAAACATATTTTTAGCATCTGCTAACAAGTGAAGCAGCATGCGAGCTGTCTCACATGGCCGATCCCCGAAATGCGAGAAGTTCCTGATGAAAGCGTTTGATTATAAGGAACATAAATAATGCATTACTGCCAAGGCGCTGGAGCTGCGCTGCTGTTTGTTGTACGGACTGTATTTGGGCTTCAAGGGTTTGCCTGCCACCCGGTCCTTGTGCCTCCTGCTGGAGATGTGCTGTGAAAAGAGGAAAAAAAAAGGTTCTTCAGGTTTTCCAGCATCTATATTCCTAAACAGACTGCAATTACATTCTACACTCTGTTTACTCCAATATTGTTTTATTGACTCTGACATAAAACCCAAACATCTATCAGAAAATAAACAAATAGAAAAGTCTCAGAAGGCACAAGGTAGGTGTTTCTAATAAAGTGGCCAGTGAGTGGAAATACAAGGTGGGTGTTTCTAATAAAGTGGCCAGTGAGAAGAGGCACAAGGTAGGTGTTTCTAATAAAGTGGCCAGTGAGAAGAGGCACAAGGTAGGTGCTTCTAATAAAGTGGCCAGTGAGAAGCGGCACAAGGTAGATGTTTCTAATAAAGTGGCCAGTGAGAAGAGGCACAAGGTAGGTGTTTCTAATAAAGTGGCCAGTGAGAAGCGGCACAAGGTAGGTGTTTCTAATAAAGTGGCCAGTGAGAGGAGGCACAAGGTAGGTGTTTCTAATAAAGTGGCCAGTGAGAAGCGGCACAAGGTAGGTGTTTCTAATAAAGTGGCCAGCGAGAAGAGGCACAAGGTAGGTGTTTCTAATAAAGTGGCCAGTGAGAAGAGGCACAAGGTAGGTGCTTCTAATAAAGTGGCCAGTGAGAAGCGGCACAAGGTAGATGTTTCTAATAAAGTGGCCAGTGAGAAGAGGCACAAGGTAGGTGTTTCTAATAAAGTGGCCAGTGAGAAGCGGCACAAGGTAGGTGTTTCTAATAAAGTGGCCAGTGAGAGGAGGCACAAGGTAGGTGTTTCTAATAAAGTGGCCAGTGAGAAGCGGCACAAGGTAGGTGTTTCTAATAAAGTGGCCAGCGAGAAGAGGCACAAGGTAGGTGTTTCTAATAAAGTGGCCAGTGAGAAGAGGCACAAGGTAGGTGTTTCTAATAAAGTGGCCAGTGAGAGGAGGCACAAGGTAGGTGTTTCCAATAAAGTGGCCTGTGGGTGGAAGTACAAGGTAGGTGTTTCTAATAAAGTGGCCAGTGAGAGGAGGCACAAGGTAGGTGTTTCTAATAAAGCGGCCAGTGAGTGGAAATACAAGGTAGGTGTTTCTAATAAAGTGGCCAGTGAGAGGAGGCACAAGGTAGGTGTTTCTAAGTGGATGGGTAGTGTATTATGCTACACACAAACGTTGCATGAAAAGGAATTTTGGAAATTAGTCCAAAGTGAGTGTATATATATATATATATATATATATATATACACAAAGGTGGACAGATGAGTCTGCGGTGTAGCTTTTTGGACAACACAGGTTCCTTCACATCAGTTTCACAATAGGAACATCATACCAGCATTCATACAGAGGTGGTAGGTATGTAGTGAGACAGTTTTGCTGCCTCGAGGCCTGACTGACTCGTTATTGTTCTATTGTTCACTCAAGTCACTGCACTGTGTTCCCTTCACTGCCTTCCTGTAGCTGCTCGCATCAGATTTAACACCCTGATACTCGACTACAAAGCCAGAGCTGGACCACCCCCTGCCACACACTTAAAAATGGTTCTTTGGTAAATAATATAATTTTATATAGAACCATGAACACTCAAGGAACCCTCTGCATGCATAAATGGTTCTTTGCATCATGAAAGCGTTCTTCAGATTGATTGAGAATGTGCTATAAATGGTTCTATACTACAGAAACTTTGTGAAAAGGGTTCTATAACACCAGGTTCTGCTATTGTTACAATGTCACGCTTATTACAATGGAAGAACGCCTTATGGTGCTATGCAGAACCCATTACAAAGAGGTTCTATGTAGAACCATCTACAGCACATTCTCCATCAATCTGAAGAATCCTTTTGTGATGCAAACAACCCTTTAATAATGCAAAGGGTTTGTTGAGTGTTCATGGTTCTACGTAGAACCATCTGCTTTGCTAAAGAACCCTTGAAGAACCATCATATTAATTGTGAAGCTCGACAATGTAACAGTAGAAAAACGCTTTATGGTGCCATATTGAAGCTTTTTCAAAAAGGTTCTCTATAGAACCATCTATAGCACATTCTCCATCAATCTGAAGAATGCTTTTGTGATGCAAACAACCCTTTAATTGTGCAATGGGTTCTTTGATTCTTCATGGTTCTATATAGCACCATTTGCTTTGCTAAAGAACCCTTGAAGAACCATGTTTTTAAGAGTGTACCTGATGATCAATGATCAAAAGTATTACAGTATATACTGAAGAACATTACACTGTATTTGTATAAAAATGGAGATTTCTGATGTTCTGCAGTTCTTCTACTGTTCTCCATGTATAATTACACAAAGCAGGATGCAGAAAGCAGCTCCGGAGATTCAGTTCCAGCTCCATTCTAGCACATCTGATGCAACTAATCAAGATGGTCAGGGGTGGGTGAGCATCACAGGCAGGTGTGTTAGATTGGAACAGAGCCGGATCTGAACTCTGCAGGATCACTGCCAGCCTGCAGGAGCAGGGGAGTGAAATGCTTATATAAAATTATATTTCAAGAAATACTGCATTCATTCTGCACAGTGTATAGCAGTGAACAGCGAGCTGAAGCTTAGTTAGCAGGTCTTAGCTGCAGGAGAAGAACCCAGTTACACTCAGTTGTAGTTTATTCATTATAAAGTTGCCTATTATAAAGCATTTTCGGGGGTGAAGAACCTCATGAACCTGCCTTATTAATCACACAGTAACTGTTTACACGCTCTCCGGTGGTCCACTTTTAGTCGAGCACAGCTCGTCTAAGAAAGGGTCATGTAAACAGCACTTTCTACTAAGCTGATATTGGCCGGACAATGCTAGATCGCTTTGTTTGTGAACATTTAAGTTGCACCACTGATGCTTATGTGGAGTTTTCTGTGACATTTTGCGGCACTTCCTGAAGTATCACACGTCTATTGAGCTCTTTATGACATTAAAACAAACTGTGGTGAAAGCTGTAATTGCTGGAGTCTATTTTTGGGCTGAGACATAAAAAGAAAGGCTTGAAGCAGCGTTTCTCAACAATTGCATTATAGCAGCTCGAGTGTGAAGTGAGAACAACATCTTGTCAGCTTCAGAAAGCCTGGCTGGAGTTTTAAATAACTGAGGGAAACTCATACCTGCAGAAACTTGCGTCATGAAGGGGCCGGTGTTTGAGTTATAGTTAAATCAGACTATGCTGACGTGTGTCTTTATACATCTTATGTAAATTCACAGCTACTAATTCACTCATTAACTCACTCGCTTAGTGACTCACTCACTCATTGATTCACTCAGTTAACGACTGACTATTCACCAAATCATTCACTCGTTCATTCAGTGACACACTTACTCTCTTAAGGCCTCACTCATTATTTCACTCAGTAACTGACTGCCTAAGTGACTCACTAATTACTAACTCATTCATTCACTAACTTACTCAGTAACTGACTCACTGATTAACACTCACTCACTCACTGATTTACTAACATACTCACTCACTAGTTCATTCTCTCTCTAATTCACTCACTAATTTACTAATACATTCACTGACTCACTAATTCACTAACTCACTCACTAACTCAGTGACTCACTAATTCACTAACTCACTCACTAACTCAGTGACTCACTAATTCACTCACTAATTTACTAACACATTCACTGACTCACTAATTCACTGACTCCCTCACTCATTAACTCAGTAACTGACACCACCAGTAACTGAAACTCAATGAGTCACAGAATGGTACGTCATGGTGCAGCTATACATCCATAATTACACATTTTGTCAAAATTTCCATTGCCAAGAGAATCACATTGATTATCCTTCATGCATGTATATCAAGTGTACCGAACAAGGATGTATGGGTGGAGCTAAAAATGTTGAGACCATTGATTGGTCAAATGCAATTATCACAGAATTGGTAGAACTCCTCAGAACTCCTCCTACTTTGACAGGTACCGTTATGTGATGGGAAATGGACAGAGATACTCAGCCAGGGTACGAAAAATTCTGGATTCAGATTTGTGTCAGCAGCTGTACTGCACTGTGGTTAGGAAACTCACTCTCATTTAACAGGCTGAAGATTCTCAACAAGGAGGATCTATAGGCACTTAAGTAGTTTTTGAGCATCTCACTGAGAGAGAGGAAACCGGTATGGACTTACACCAGCAGGAGCTCTCAAATTTCACGTTTGTTTGCTACAATTTGCAAGTAAAAGGCTCCATTCCCACTACATATGTATTTTAATGCAGGTCCTGTTCACTGATATGGGAAATATTCACTCAGTCAGAATAATGATACTACAGCAGGCAGCTTCACGTCAATCACACTGTCGGGTAAAATATTCCATTGATAAGCAGAACGATGTGAAACAGTATAGCATACCTGTTTGAGCTGGATTTCTGAATTGACGTGAACGTCACAGATTTCGCAGTGGAACGTCTTGTTCTGCAAGCCCGAGCCTTTGAGGACGTTGGCCTGCATTTTGAGTTTGGACCCAGGCCTGGGGTAGGCCTTAATGGGACCAGCCCCATTCCGTGCCTCCAGCATGGTTTTGTGCTTCGAACCTGGCAGGGAAGATCAAAATCGACATGGTTTCATGACATGACGTCTCGCACTCGGTGGGAGATCCTGTTTTTAAACCAAGAGTTTTAATCAATTACAAAAAGAAATCAATTGAGTAATTATGCTTCATTAGGCTGCTTAATTCGATTTTCGATGTGTCGCCAGTGCTGTAGCTTTTCAGGTCACAGGGTGAGCTCTACAGGAAAGCACAAAATAAGCCTGCTGGAGACGGTTAAAGGAACAGTCCGTTGAGTTGTTAAATAATAAATTCAGACAAATTCATTATACAGTGTCGGAAACCATATGAGCAAGTCTATTAGAGACTGTTTAGCAACTCCACACAGTCTGAGCCAAGGGTGTGATGATTAGGCATGGAGTTTGCATGATGCTAACACGCTTCCGGTACTTGTTAGCTACATTAGCCCTTTAGGCCCAGTGTAAAACTAACGAAGCACATCGCAGACATTTAATGTTGTGGTTGACTGACTACATTCTGGGTTGGGGGGGAAATTGTTTAAATTAGATACTTTCGCTAAATCTGTAACATCCTGGCATGGATTTAAGTCCAGATCACTCAGGCTTATTACCCACTCGTTTACACTGAGTCAGAGTTAAAGACAGTAGCACTCAGATTTGTGAATACAGTACCTAATTCAGCAGACATCATCTTAAATGCTTCAGATTCCTGCTACAGTAGGGAATTATTTCATTTTCCTTTAAAATCAGCAGTTCTTTTAAATCCAATGAACTATGGAACTGAAATATGGACCATAATTACGGGCCATACTGTACATTGTTCTTCCATTTAATTTTGTTCTTCTGATGACCACTTATTTGTAGGGTTTTATGCACGAAAAACAGTCATAATTCATTTTTACATGACCATTTTCCAACCTCACTTCATGTCTTACAATCAAACAGGCTGCTTCTGTTACTGTGCTTTAAAGACTGATATATGCAAATGGGCTTCGTTCTGATTGGCTGATGCTGTATTATGCCTCATTAAAAAAACAGTCCCAGCTAAAACTGGATAAACAGGACAGAAACAATAAACTATAGCTGCTCTTTTTGGATGTGTGGATTCTTTGGAAGGCTGTACTGATCCATCTGCTTCCTGACATTCAGGAACAGCACAACGTTTAATCATTTTTTCTACAACTTCAACTTTAAATACTCTGCTAGAGACTGTCTGCAGGAATAACATTTTGGATCACTTCAACGGGAATTGGTGGAGCTAAACTGTAGGAGGTGGAATGGGCGGGGCTAAACTGTCAGATGTGGAATGGGCGGAGCTAAACTATAGGAGGTGTAATGGGCGAAGCTAAGGAGATGGAATGGGCAGGGCTTAACTACTTTAGGCTGAATGGGTGGGGTTAAACTGCTGAAGGCAGAATGGGCAGGACTAAACTGCTATAGGCTGAATGGGTGAGGCTAAACTATAAGATATGGAATGGGTGGGGCTAAACTGTTGGAGGTGTAATGGGCAGGGCTAAACTACTGTAGGCTGAATGGGTGGGGCTAAACTGCTATAGGCTGAAAGGGTGGGGCTAAACTGCTGTAGACTGAATGAGTGGAGCTAAACTGCTGTAGACTGAATGGGTGGGGCTAAACTGCTGTAGACTGAATGAGTGGAGCTAAACTGCCGTATGCTGAATAAGTGAGGATAAACTGCTGTAGACTGAATAAGTGAGGATAAACTGCTGTAGACTGAATGAGCGAGGATAAACTGCTGTATGCTGACTGGGCGGGGCTACACTGCTATAGGCCCAATGGGTGGAGCTAAACTGCTGTAGGCTGAATGGGTGGGGCTAAACTGTTATAGGCTGGTTGGTTATATGTAAATATTTGTGGATGTGACAACCTTTTTTTTACTTTATCAGTAGTACATAACACAGTACAGTTTTTCTATAATATGGGCCTTTTAAAACTTCAACTTAACGCCCCTGTGGACTTTTCCAAAGTCCTTTCCAAAGATCAAACGCAGCGGGGAGCGCAATAGCTGTGATTTCTTGCTGTCTGTGGACAGTTTGAACAATCAATGCTAATGAGAGAGAGAAGCGCAGAACAATAGGGAAGGCCTTCAGCGGGAAGAAACCACAGCTACATGCAGCCAGATGTTTTCCACACCTGTGTTGTGAGCCTCCAGCTGTGAGAGCGAGTTGACGGCCACTTTACAGAGCGAGCAGTACAGCAGCTTCTTGGCTTTCTCCTCCTCGGACTCCAGGCTGGCTTCCGGCTGGCTGGCCTGTTTGGGGGCGCTCTTCAGGGCGGGCGCTGCTGACTGACCGGCAGGTTCTGCGGGTGGACTACAGGGAACGGGGGCCGCCTTACAGAGGCTGGACAACACAGCCGGTGTGGACATGAAGGCTTGTGGGGAATCATGGGCTTTGAGCATGCATGAAACCTCCGTGCTTTTCTCTGTGAGGGAGAGAGAGAGAGAGAGAGAGAGAGAGACAGTTATTACTCTGTGTCTGATCCACTCGAACCAGCACAACATGCACTAACACACCACCACCACGTCAGTGTCACTGCAGTGCTGAGAATGATCCACCACCCAAATAATACCTGCTCTGTGAGGGTCCATGGGGGTCCTGACCACTGAAAAACAGGGTAACAAAGTATGCAGAGAAACAGTCTGTAACTGAACTACAAAGTGCTCCTACATGGTCAGTGGAGCTGATAAAATGGACAATGAGTGCAGATATAAGGACATATGCTTAGTGAAGTGGCTGGTGGGTGTATGTAGCTTTAAGGGAGCTTTTTGATGAACATATATTTTACATATACATCTATTTATACATGATATTGTTTTCCGCAAAATAAAGCTGCTTAGTCTTTAACGTAGTACTAGATAAATGTCCGACACCAAACATGTCTTGGCTGATCACTGACATTTGGGGTAAATGGGGGGAAAATACTACGCAAAGTTAAATTTCTAACTGAATGATCACTGTAAGGCGGGGTGTCGATGGTGGGGGGGGGTAGCAGGACAGAACAAAAAGAGGAAAGAGAGAGAGAAGCAGAGCTGACAGTTAATCGAATGTGCGGAACGCTGCATTGTTCAGTGACACATTTAAAACTCCTCCGGTTTGTGAGCCTGGGCGTGTTGTATAAGCCCATTCAGGATCTGGGTGCTCTAGTTTCTGTTAACAAGCTGCAGCAGTGTTGGGCTTCTCTTCTTGTACCCCAACACCACCTCAGCTGTCAGCATCAGGACCCTCTAAAACAACAGAGAAATGTGCAGCACTGTTTAAAAGTCTAAGGCACCCATTTACCTGGACCATAAATGTGTTTTATAATATTTCTAATTTTGGAAATTAGTTGCTGTCTTGTGAGTTAGTTTGTAGAACACAGTGTGGTTCCAGATTTAACATAACAAAGAACTGTTTAGTATAGTTGTCAAGTCTCAAGATTTACCTGTTTCACAGGTTTTCACACCCTCAAAAAAGTTTGTTTCAAAAAATTATTGTGCCCTACGCAGCGTCATCATGGTAACAGCCAATAACAGACCTGATTACATATTTAGATTGCACCACCCAACATTATTTACCAATACAGTCATTTCAAATTTAACACCCAAGTACTGATTTTTTACATGCACTTAATAATCAGATAACTGCAGAAAATCAGATTTTGTCAGTAATCCGATGAACACGTTTACGTGCACTTGAGTAATCAAATAATGACGAAACTCCAGGTCTATATGAGTCAGACAGTAATCAGATTTCTGCTTTGCAACCAGCGAATAAACTCACAGAAGAAGACGTGACATAAATGTAGCGTAAAACATTTGGTTTCAGTTTTGCTCCAAAAGTGTTTTGCTGCGCCTCGCGGCACACTGCTCACTTATTTCCGGTACCGCCGTCTGTTCTCACACATGCGCAGAACTCCAAAAATCCAAAAAATCCATAAGAATTCAAAGAGTTTACATGCACTGAGAAATCAGATTACTGAGCTAAAAACCAGCTCTTTATCAGATTTCTAGACTATACTCCAGTCTAAGAAATCAGAGTGTGCTGTTTACATGACCAACTGCAGAAATCTGATTATGATCAGATTAGTAAGTGAATGTAAACACACTCATTGACATTTAAAACATCGACCAAATGAAAGCAAATGAACCAGCATCTACATGGTGTACATACGCAATAGAAAAATCCCCTGAATGCAGCATTAATTTTGATACATTGTGAGGTCAAATCTAGGGGAACAATGTGTATTTTGAACAGCGTCAGCATGCTGTAAAGGTTTCAGAGAAGGCCCAATGATTTCTGGGAAATAACTTTTCTAGTTTATTTTCCCTTAATAGAACCTTCAAGCTTGTATTTAAACTCTGAAAGTTTTGTAGTAAAACTCTTACTTCACTGTTAAATTTGATCAAAAATAATAGGATTCAGTTTTTGAAATACATCATGCAAAATGATCCAATTAGGATTGTTTCCTCTCTGGCATCTTGGTAGATACAGCTAAGCGAGCTCTCCTATTGGTCAGGGCTTCAGGAGCTGAACTGAAGGCTTTATATTTTAGATTACCTTCCAACATAATTAGAAAGTGAGAGTGGAATCAACCAATCAGGTTTTTATGCTCAATGGGAGGGACCAAATTTTGTGACAACAAAATCATCACTCTCGATCTTCTGGAAGTTCTAGATATGTCACTAACTGTACAAGCCGTAGTCTAAGCAGGTTTCAGTTAGTTGTTAGGAATAGAGAGCAGCGGCAGCAGCTCTATGTCAGGACTCTTTACTGAAAGAGTCACTGTAAAACTGATACATACCAGCTCAAACATAAGTTCATGTCTGATACAAGCTTCAAATATAACATAAGAATCTTTCACCAGCTTCATAATGTCTGTGTTTAATCCAGAATGACAAAAATGTTCATATTTAACCTCTGATAGTATGTAGCTTAGCACTAACATACAATTACAAACCCCATAAGTGCACTAGCAGAAATCGGCATTATCCTTGATTTTTGACCTACACTCTTAAAAAAATGCTTCTTCAAGGGATCTTTGGTAAAGACAATGGTTCTATTTAGAGCCATGAACATTCAAAGAACCATTTGCATGCTTAAAGGGTTCTTGGCAGAGTGAAATTGTTCTTCATATTGATAGAGAATGTGTTAGCACCAAAAAGGGTTCTTCTATTATTATGATGTCAGGCTGATTAAAATAGAAGAACGCTTTTTGGTGCTACATAGAACCCTTTTCAAAAAGGTACTATATAGAGCCATCTACAGCAAATCAGGGTTCTTTGAGCCCTCATGGTTTAGAACCATTCTCTCTACTAAAGAACCCTTGAAGAACCATCATTTTAAATGTTTATATAGAACCATACACAACACATTACCCATTAATCTGAAGAACCATTTCACCAGAAAGGGTTCTTGTGTTGTAACAAGCCTGACATCATAACAATAGAAGAACCCTTTTTGGCGCTATATACAACACATTCTCCATCAAACTGAAGAACCGTTTCACCATGCAAAGAACCCTTTAAGCAAGCAAATGATTGTTTGAGTCTTTGTGGTTCAATATGGACTCATTATCTTTATTAAAGAACCTCTGAAGAACCACCTTTTTTTTAGAGTGAAGATTTGACATGTACGGCCTGAACCGAAGGCCTAACTCTAATAGTCACAGTTCAGCACTGATAAACCACCATTCCTTTCCACAGTCTTGTCTTGGTTCACCCTCCAGAATCCCCAGGGCAGAACTGCAGCTCCGGTGTCCTGCTTTACAAGATCTCACTGCTTATTTTTCTGATGGTCACTCACTCAGGATCTGAGTCTGTCCCTGGAGATTCCCTCAGGCCAGGGGGAACTAATGCCTCCCCCCACCCTCGTACACTGACCACACACCCACTGAACCTCCTGCATGGATGCACTTCTAACCTACATTTATGTCTTAGTAATGAAACATTTTAAAGGATAAACAGGTTAATTTAAAGGAAAACTATATTTTATATATATATATATATATATATATCTTTGATTAAATTATAGCTTGATTTACAGTGCGCATTGATCTACTTTGTAAAAAATGGCTTGTCACTTCAACCTAAAAATGTGACCTGTGAAACTGCTTTTATTTAACTATTTTAGCTTAGGTGAACAAAAACGACATTTTACATCAATTCAAGCCTCAAAAGCACATAAAATCAACTTCTATTTCCACTTTGTACAGTAGAAATAAACCTGGTTAGTTGCTTATTCTTTAATATGTTACGTTATTGACAACTAACAAATTAAAAACCCTCTTTTGTTTCAAAATGGTCAGAAAAGGTAGGGTGTACTCAAATTTTTGCACTCTATTTCCCTGAGATGTCATGTTTTGAAGGCCGGTGCTGCATATTAGTTAACCATCTTTGTTTTCAGCTGCAGTATTTGTGCTCTGGATCAGGAAACACCCACTGTGATAATCCTGGAGATTTCTGAAATGTGCTGAATGCATAACAAGCTACAGCGAATCTCTAAAAGCACAGCAGGAGAGGCCGACACCTACTGAAGCTGATTAACTGCTGAGATGAATCAGACCTGTTTGAACAGGAATATGAACTAACTACAGAGGTGTGGATCTCAGACCTCACAGTTTAGCTCAAATTCAGATTATTTGGGAAATTATTAAATGCATCACAATGTCCTGAAATAACACTATTTGATTACTGTTGCATAATTCAAAAAAGTTTTAAAAACTTACTGAACAAAAATGTGTATTTAAAAACACAGTAGTGGAATACAGACAATGAAAATGTGGAAACATTGCATTTCAATGTTAATGTGGGGAAAAACACTGTATGTGCACACTTCATTGAATATTCTGTACCACTTAATTTAAAGGCAACCTATACAGGGAAGACATAACACATGTATAAACATTGAGTAATGCATTTATAAAGCAATACTTAAGTATTTATGAACAGCTTAAGCCTTAAGGGACGCAGTCTCACTTCCTGCTCTAAATAAGGCTCCGCCCATTTTGGCAGAAACAGGAAAACGTGCGACAACATTTTACTTTTTTTTTTTTTCAGTTAAAATTGCAATTAAATCTAAATATTTCAGCTTTTCTTTAAAAGATCTTCCAAAAAAGGAAAAATGCAAAAAATATAATATATTATTATAGCATTATTTTCACATGCAGAAAATTAGAGATTAGGGTTTGGGACAGACACCTCTCAATAGAAAGAATCCTATAAATGATGATTTGGTATATTTTTAGCTTATTACCATCTCTATTCATGCCTTGGGTTTAAACAGATCATAACATTACCCTTGTAAATATCAAAGACCTAAATACTTTATTTTTTTTTAATAGTTTGTTTGCTGTATGACTGCAGTCTGAACTAATTCATCAGAATGCGCCACGCATGTGTATGAAGGCCTTGTTATGAAGATAACCTTCATAATAAGGTTTTGCCA